GGAGCCAATATAGTACCACACTATTGAAGTCTCCAGTTAGAACCTGCAATCTAATACATCTGCCTCAGAAATAAACTGGAGTCTCAGTGTGACGGTTCCAACCTCAGAGGGAGTATGTGTTAAAGCAGGAGGACGATCCAATACAAATGGTAAGTACATGTAATGTTGAAGCAAAACACATGGTTATCACTCAGACACATTTTGAAAAAGAATCAGATCATTTCTAATAGCTCCTCTGGTTAATTTGTAGGTATATTCTGGATCACCCAAGGCTCCCCAGCAGGATCTTAGCCACATTCCAGCTGCCACCAAGTCAAAGGGAGAAAGGAGAACACTTTCTCTAGAGTCTTCCTGTCTATAAGAAACTGAAAGCTCTGAAAAGGACAAGACTGCAGGTGGAGTACAAGGAATAGAGAGAGATACGGAGAGTAAAGATAAAATACTAGTAAGCAACTTTCCTAATAATTTGTACCTTATTAGGCCAGATTGTGGTGGGGATTAATTTATGATGCCCACTCCATTATCAAGTATATGAACTAAGTCTTATATATCTCTAAATAACAGTCAGCAAAATATTTGTTATAATGATATCCCCTTACTTAGGAAATTAGAACCATGGTCTAATAGTATCTAGTGAAAAATGTACTATTTTTATCACATAAAACTGAAGGAAAAAGACTTAATTCACTTGGCTATGAATACTTCAATACATATTTTCTACTGTTTTTGTCTCTCATTAAGTTCAATTAGACATATATTTGTTGGGAAAAAAACCCAATGCTGTATATAAAGTCAGCCTCAAAACTTCCACATTTGCATATAAAGTCACTTCACAGTGAATGTCACTATGTGCTTCATGCTCAACAGTATACAGCAAAGACTGTACGAGACAGTCATTGTCCCGCCCCGCCCCCGGTCCCCAGTGCTCGTGATCTAGCTGTCCTTTACCTGGGCCCACTGATACAGCTGTTCCAGCTGTGTTTTGTCCAGATCAGAGGTACCTATAGCAACAATCTTTTTACTCTGAACTAAGTTTTCCAATTCCTCCCAGTAAGGTTGCAAATGCTCCAAGGAAAGATTAGCTCCATCTTCAGTAGGAGGTGAAGCAATGATCACGGAATCCAGCTGTGCAACTCCAAGGACGGAACAGGCTGATGTGAAGGAAAACACACAGAGGATAAATGCTCGTCACATAATACAAACAAGTATTTCTGACGCCCTTCAAGCACCCCACTGAACTCTGAGTAGATATTCCTTAGCTTTATTAGTTTTCTATATAACAGATTACTCAGTTTCATAATTTATCTGTTACTTAGAGTATTTCCATCTTTTAAAAAAGTTTAATTGTCCAGCCCTGGCTGGGTGGCTCAGTGGGTTGAAGCATTATCCCTTACACCAGAAAGTTGTGGGTTTGATTTCCGGTCAGGGCACATATGGGAGGTAACAGTTGTTTTCTCTTTCTCTTTTTCTCCATCCCCTCTCAAAATTAATAAAAACATATCCTCAGATGAGGATTTAAAAAGAAAAGTGTAAGTTCATTCATCTACTTGGTCTTTGTGGTAGGTAAGTGGGTTTCTTTGATCTGCCTCTTCTTTCGGGACCCATAGCTACTTTAGGCTTCTCTTTCAGGGGGAACAGGCCTCCTTGTTTCCTAGGTCCCAGGATTTTTTGGCGGCTTCCTTAACTTCATAACATTTTCTTTTCAAGTTCTCTCATATAGGTGATTACAAGAATCCTGACCTAATATTCTGCAATTAGTAGTCATAGCAAAAAATAAGCTTGAGACTTGAAAAACCAAATGTATGGTCTTAATATATATTTATAAAGATAGATAATTTCTTAGTTTCTATAAAAATAATTTAAGTTTATTTTTATTGATTATTGTTTACTCCACAGTTATATCAGAGAGCTATTTAAGTGTTCAACCTATATAAATACTAGAAGAATGTTTTAAAAGAAAAAAATACTGAATAACTGAAATAATACCACAATAACATAAACCAAGTACTGAAAATAGATAAAAATGCTTTGCTTGTTTGTTGTTGTGGTGGTTGTTTTGGTATTTCATCTATAGTATTAAAAGGGCTAAGAATATGATTAAGGCCCGGCCGGGTGTGGCTCAGCGGTTGAGCGTCGACCTAGGATCCAGGCGATCAGGGTTCGATTCCTGGTCAGGGCACATGCCCGGGTTGTGGGCTCGATCAATGACTCTCTCATCA